AAGGCTCTATATTATTAAATTCACCAAAATGATACTTACAACGTGCCATCTTATAGTAAATTAATAATACCAAACTTATACTTCGTACAAACTAAATGGATGCTGTAGCACCTACTAAAGTAACCTTTACCTGTAGAGAGATAAGAGATATTTGGATAATTTTTAGTCAAAAATATTTAGTGTATGGTTACGATCGTTACAAACAATCTGATTTAGAAGAAGATTTTTATAGAATGAAACAAAGGAAAGAAAAAGAAAGAAAAGAAAAAGAAAGCGAATGAAATATGAAAGAAAACATTGGAAGAAGACGGCCACGATAGACTTTTTCAGATCAAATTTATGCCTATGGTTTTTCATGGTTAAGTTACAGTATAATATAATGATGAAAGAAGAAAATAAAAAGGCGAAAGAAATGAGGAAGATAACTTTGAAAGAAGACGAAGGATTGTTTTCAGATAAATGTATGCCTATGCTTATTCGTGGTTAAATTACGGTATAATACAATGATGATAGAAAGAAAATAAAAACAGCGAAAGAAATAAGGAAGACAACATTGGAAGAAGACGGTCTCGAAGGACTTTTTTCAAATCAAGTATATGGCTATGCTTTTTCATGCTTGACTTACGGTGTAATACATTGGTTCAATTGATATTGCCGGAACTTAAACAATGAAATTGTACATAGGATAACGATCTTTACGTCACGTGTGTAATGTACAAACTGGATCCCAAGTGGAGAGGATGCTAATTTTCAATCATCTCAGTTGTATGTCGATAGAGTGTCAAGGTGTCAGGCTACTAATCAACTGCCATTGCACATTTTTGCTATAATTTTGGCATAAAAAATTATCGATTAATCAAATAAAACTGAGATTTCCCTCTAAGGGTCATATTCCAAAACTCTACTCATTGCTCAAGTCATGATTTGAGTATGATTCAAAGCACTAGAAATCATACTTAAGTCCTTGCCTTTAGGGTCGTATTTCCAGTGCTTGACATCATACTCAAGTCTGCTCAAATCCTAACTTGAGCATTGAGTAGCGTTCTGGAATACGACGCTTTGTGTCTTAAAAATAATTCATTTCTTGGTTGTACAATTACAGGCAATGAGTGCATGTGGCGTGCAGCAATAATTTTAAGTAATACTTTTGATCTGGATCTTTTCAATACGAGTGTGATTTCGGCATTGAGAGCGCTGAGTGAGCTCTTCTTTGACTTTTAATGAGGCTTAAAACGGATGTGGTTTTTTAATTTTATGTTTTATGTAATAAGTTACGTAAATTGTGCACCCATATTCCTTATTATATTTCTATTTGTGAGGATCTTTAATTGGCTCTCCGTTGTTACTATTATTATTTAATATAGTTTTAATCTGTTGATCTTCCTTTTAAATAAATAAATAATTTCGTTGGTGGGACCTTTTAACCTCTCCGGAGAAGATATCATTTTGCAGAGTGGTATTGTTACACCAAGGATATGATGGGCAAACTTTTCAACAAATCTTTTTATCGATGGTTATCTACCTATTCGGATCCATTGCGGTGGGCAGATGCTATGAATCCTGGCTTTTTTCGTAAAGTAAATTAAATACTTACCTAACAATTAAAGCTATTAATCAGACGCAGTAGATGTTTACAAATTATAAACGATAAAAGTAGGGTAATAAACACATTTAAGTTATTTTGACGTGGTGTACGCCACCTGGGTTTACTGCTATAAAATGGGGATGAGTAGTGATGGGCCTTATGTGTGAGATTTGGTTCGTTTGAGTTTTGACTCACTCAAGTGTTGTTCGCTCTCTCACTCTATTGGGTAAGGCTATTGTCGGTGTAAACGCCATACAGTCCTCTACAAAGCTTTTCTGCGACCCGCTTTTATAACTTTTTTTTTATTAAAAAATAACTGTACACCTCTATCTCACCTGATGGAAAGAGATAAAGAGATGAAGTTATAGCGTTTCTGGAAATAAGATTGCAGGCTGGAAATCCCACTCCAATGCCGTTCGTTATATAAAATGTGGAAGTGTAACGTTTTGTGCGAATCCTTGGAGTATCCATGACATAATAGTGGAACCAAGCCTACGTCTAGTCGCCGATGATAGAAAGGGGAAGGCGGAATTAAATCATCAATTCCCTCGCAAACACTCCGTGGTTTTTTTTTATAATATCAAGTGACGGGACGAACAAGTTGTGCGCCTGGTGGTAAGTTGCACGCCTGTTTATAACAGTTCCAGCGCCTCTCAGAACTTTAAATCGTAAAGGTCTGAGGGGCAGTGCCACAGCGCCCGTCACCCTAAGACATAAGTTGACAAGTCCCATGTATCTGTAATTTCACTAGTACCCTTATACCCTTGGACACAGGAACACCGGAACATATATCCTGTAGAATACCGACAAGCAGGCAACTTTACGGAGGTGTTCAAGGCTTTGCGGGCTAACGTCTATAAGCCTCTTGGCACGCTTTTCAACTGAAACTTTACCACACTTAACGCAAGAGAGGTACCCCTTTTTCGTGGGAAATCCTACTAGGATACTTCTCCGTCGCGGGGGCAGCGGAAAGTTTATGCCGAACTTCTACTGGCTAAAATCTCAAGGTGGCCTTCTCGTGTGCTTTAATGGGAGGGATCCAGGATCGACTTTGCGCGCCGGAATCATCCCAGCACCTGGGAAGAGCTACGTCTTATCCCTCCCCCTCCTCACGACAAAGCGGACCGACCGCCCCGTCGTCCTCCTCACGGCTGTCAAACATGTAACGATGAAACCGTTTTATCGCCTTTTTCTCTGGTTCCTGGCCACTTATTTTTGAAAATTTGAATCGTTCTCTAGTTCTTTTTCTTCGTCATTCTTATCTTTCGAGAAAAGACCTTCAATCATGTAAACCTAAACTGCTTATATATATATGCAATACAGGCCCTTTTGGGGTAAGTACACTTACGTTTGTCTAATCTGTAGGGACTGTATTGTACTTGTTTTTATACCATTGTTTTTGTTACACTCTATTCCTTTCTTTTTTTACCTTTAACAATAAACGATGCGGACCGAGCGTTTTTTTATTATCATTACGCAAGACCCGCGAGACAAATTTACTGGTGAACGAAGCTCCTGTTCTGGTCGCCCACAGTCGCGAAAGAGAGGTCCCAACGCATCTCATTCCTCGCTCTTGGTGACTTGTAGCTTTTGCAATATTTTGTCAGTATATACGACTCATAACAGTAGAGCTCCTTGTGAAAGAGTTAGCCAGCCAGACACATATTTCTGCCCCCAAGCAGTAATATAAGCATTATTTATTTAGAATGCAAATCATAACAATACACGTTTCGTTAGATAAGTACTTATTACTATGACGCCCCGCAGGGGTATGGCACTTAGTCGTTACCTTTTGGCTTACATTATTTCACACATTACAAAATATAATAATAAAATTACAATTTAGATTAAAATGACATGGTCAATTATCCATCGTCAGTCTTCGTCAAATGCATGAAATAATATACGAGTAACAACGTAATTTAACCAAAACTACGCAAGTTTGTCAATATCTTTTAATTTTAATTTTAACTTTTAATTTTTTTGTGAAATTTTTGTAACTTGTCTCACATCTTAGGTATTCGGGTAGTTTATTGTGATTTTTTATTGCATTATAATACAGACTCTTCTGATAAATGCTTAATGTACTTTGCTTAATATATTCTTATATTTAGACGTTCTTATCATTAATGAATAGTTCACTATTTTCTAATAAATTCATTGCGTTGTAGTTTAATTACCGGTAAAATAAAAGGCGCAAGGGTCTTGTCAGATCTTTGTCATTAAGAGGGAGCAGAGGAAAAACTCCTAATCTTCGATTTGATTTTAGAGGGGTGTATCCACTTTAAAGTTAAAAATAAAATATTGTACGAGTAACTACACGATGTATTCAAGCATATATATTAATCAGAAGCACAAAACAATAAAATTTCCTCGATAGATAAAAATCACGAAATTACCTCTAATTTTCACATTTTTTCGATTTATCTTCGAAATGCTACAGGTTATTAGGACAAAAATTAGATAATTAATTATATTTATGCATGATCGACAAATATCACTACGGATTTTTTTTAATCCCTTTAGTTTTAGAGTTATTCCGCTAAAACGAATTTGGTACTTTTAATGCGCAAAATTCAACATCTCCTGTCGCATGTCACGCGAACTTCAGGCATATATTTGTTTCACAAATTTGGGCGGAGCCAACGTCAAAACTTTTTTTGGCGTGCTCCCTCTTAAGCTCTGAGATATATTGTAACACTGTATGTCGTTTCCCATCGCGCGCACGACTTGTTTGTCCCGTCAGTAGACATCATAAAAAAAATTTGATTAGAATGACTTGTCATCTACATTTTTCTTCGGTCCATTTAAAGCCATTTTAACTGCCTCTGAACCCGTACGGATACCATGCCGGATTATTTCTCTCGTGAGTTTGGGTGTAATTTGTGGTTGTCTATGTGTGTGTCAATGGCACCCGCGACACAGGGTTTCCCTAGTGTGTGCGTTACTATTATTATTATTATTCAACTGACAACAACCAACTGACAAAATTATAATGTATAGCGTCAATGAATTTGGCACTTAAGAATATAAACTCAATTATTTATTTTTCTAGACTCAATTCAAAACACTGGCACATCACTATCTTTTCACAGCTATTCGAAACAACAAATGTACATTGTACCGCTTTTAAATTTTCACACCTCCTTACTAACCTAACTTAGGGTTCAAAATCGCATAGCATCTAAAATGAAGGTGTGCACATATGTCTTGGTTGTTATTTACACCTTTAAGACGTTACCATGGCAACTGATAGCATTAGTTTTTCTCGTAAAAGTCTATTTCGAAGTTTCGAGTCCATTGTGCCAGTTAGAAACACAAAAGCTATTTGGTCTATTTTAGTTTCTAAGGAGTTTTTATTTCAAGGTTTGAATTTTAGACACACGAAAGTGTATCAGCCGACATAAAGAACTGATTTATTGTTACAATTCTGGCAACTTTTACTGTTGTATAATTTATATTGGATATATAAGGTTTATTCTGACAAGTTTTATTGTTATATAATTTCTTGAAAAGTTGATAGTTTCAGAGAAAAAAATAGTTTAGTTTTTTGTATACGGAAATACACATTTTACTTTTTATCTTGAAATATAGGAAAATGTAACATGTGTGGCTTGATTGCCGTGTATTGCCACTACAGTTGCATACATTCTCTATCAAGACAAAACTTTCTTAAGATAGGTATTTCAAAACGAGACTAGATTTTAGGATGTGAGCTGTGGGGGGTCGCCTCTCGGGGCCTGCAATCAGCGCGCTTAAAATTAATATGAATAAAAAAAAGAACTGGCGGAGAAAATTTGACTTAGATCCGACGTCGACAAGCGTCCGATGGCGACAGACGGGGCAGCGGGCGGCGCAGAGCCAGAGCGTAGTTAAGGCAATTTGCAAACTTTGGGTTGTGAATTTAATAACTAATAGGGATTCAGTTGAAAACCAAAATTTTGCAGGTTCTCTGTAGTACTCGAGAGTCGATACTATCTCTGCTCGAATTCCAATTTTTCCCGTACCAATACGGCTCATTTTGCTTAGATCGTGCGGCAGGGACGCTGGTTTTATTTCGTAATTTATTTTCTTACAAACGATATCAAAGCCGTTTGAAAAAAGTATATCATTTACTATACGTGTGTAGGAATCGTGTTTTCACACTATATAGTAATCAGTGTACAACACTGCTAATAGGAGGGCTTGGACTGTGGTTCCCACGCGTGTCCAATGTAAATTACGTAGGTAACTCACGTCAACGTGCAAGTTCGGATTCAAACCTACGACGCGCTGCTTCAGAGGCAGTACGTCAAACCGTTAGGGTAGATAGCGGCTTTAATAAGCTCTATAGGCATTAAATATTCTTAGAAGAGATTTGTGCTTAGCAGTGGAGCTTTTAAAGGTTGGTATATAAGTACCTAGTAAATAATTGCTAATTAGAAATAATTTTAAATTAATTATTATAAGATGGTAACTGCATGCTGATCTTAGACTATTTTCCATCCTCTAAGATGCTGATTATCTTTCTTATTTTTGAGTTAAATACGTCGTTCCGATTTGAAATGTCAAAAGTTTCTGATCGGCCAGTTGTGAATCGTATTATGCGGAAGAGACGCAGTTTCCGAACGGGAGAGGCAATTAAGATCAAGCTGCTGGACAAGAAAAAGCACAGTCAGTTGTCGACCTTTTAACAAAGTTTATTTGATTGTAACATAATTTATATAACTCAGAACTGAGATTCGCACCCATGCCCTTTGAGAGGCGGTAGGTCCAACCAACAAGCTACTACGGTTTCTGGAAAAATGAACTTTTTTAAATTGGTTTTGGTCTGGATGTTCTGGGTTGTCCCCGGAGTGACTTCCGTTGTTCTCATCTTAATCATGGCGGCCGTTTTCTTATCCAATCTTGGATGTAGGCCTCTTCCCTCTTCTTTCACTCTTGCCAATCTTGTGCTCGACTCATCCACCCTCGACCTCCGTGTCGTTGGATGTCTTCTATTCAGTGCTGCGATGGTCTGCCGCGTCCTCTGTTGTCCGCTTGGGGTCGCCACTCAAGTACTCGCCTTGTCCAACGCCTCTCATCCATCCTCGCAATGTGCTCCGCCCACGCCCAGCTTTTCTTCACCACGACAGCCATGGCATCTTTAACTTTCCATTTCAGATCCTAGCGTTGCTCTAGTACAGGAAAGTCACTTATATTATCCAGCACATTACTGTTATTGTTATGATTATAGTAATAAAGTTGTTTTTTCTTTTTATTTACAGCCACGAACGCAAGAAGATGTACTGGGAGCAGTTGGAGCTCCGTTGCCGGTCGCTGTATCGCCCGCCCACGGCGCAGGCGCAAGCTGCGGGAAGGCCTGTACAGGTTAGTTTATTTAGTTTAATTTAGTTACATACATATTAATTTATTATAATGATTAATACATATTAACTAAAAATAACGGATATCTCACGTATTTAAGTCGAATTTTTGCTCGACATGCTCCGAACCAATTATATAAGATTCCCTGCTCCTGTGGCAACAGTTACGTAGAAGAGACCGGCCGTAACATATCCATACGACTAACGGAACATAATCGTAATCGTAATCGGGGCTCTGCAGTGACGGAACAGTCATTGGATTCGGGCTCGACGCACTATATTCGTTTTGATAAAGCGCCCGTACTGGCGAGAGAAAAGCATTTAATTCCGCGGAAAGTACGTGAAGCTATCGAGATTGGTCATTCGAATTTCAATCGTGATATTGGACGGTCGGTACCCCCCAGCTGGAAAACAGTGTTAGGTACTGCGTCAGTGGTTAGTGTAGATGAGACTTTAGAAAGTGACGTTGTCAGAGTAGTGTGGAATACTGCGTATGACTTTAATAAAAATGAAGCAAACGAGGGTAGATTCTCCCCGACACGCTGCCAGGGCTTCTCCCGCCGCGGAATCTCATGGTTAAGGACCACGAATTGGTACGAAAGATGTCGAGCAAAAATTCGACTTAAATACGTGAGTTATCCGTTATTTTTAGTTAATATGTCTGAGTGTCACGGTGGTTTTCAATTTGAAATTATTAATACAATTATCGAACACCTGGTTTTTTAATGACTTTTTGCCGCTACCTTCAGCTGACAAGAGATGTCACTTTTGCATTGTAATTTTTAAATTTATTGAATGTCACGATGTTCGACCACCATGATATTCAATTATTTTTTGTGAAATTACTCCCAAGTTTTTTATACTTATTAAAGAAACACCGGACACTTAAAAAAAATCCATTCAATTAATTACCTGACTGGGTCAAGAAAAACTTTTATAGATTTCTCATAGTTGGCGCTATGGAAAAAAGTCGTTAAAGAAAACCAAAAATAAACATCTGCAACAAACACTACGAAAAATTCGTAACGTCTGTTGGTTCGTTCCACGGAAGAAAAAAAGCAATGGTAGTGCCTTATACCTCAAGAACCGATGTGTCGTAGTTTCAAATTCAATATAATTTATACTTTACCCTGTTGGCATATCGTTGAAAGTTCGATATCTACTATTACAAGTTACGATGTTTTGACATTATATTGAAATTTCAATCGATGTGCTGCCATCTAGCGTTTCATTGCTAAACGACGACGAATTGGAGATGTCAATTTAATTCTCCAAAGAAGAAGCAACGATATTGCAGGGGTATAATCTTTACTTTCGTTCCTTGTAGCAAAAAAAATATTTCGATAAACAGAAAATTTTAAAATAAGACTTGCCGGTGATATGAAATACCACCACAGGCATTGACTTACAAATAAATGGACGACGGGTCTAATACAAAAACCACGAAAAAAATGTCCCAAGTCAACCTATTTAAACGTAGTGACATGTAAAGGAATATGAAAAAGCTAAAACGTTGAATTTAAATTGTAATGTCATCGCAGTACTGTCTAATTTTGCAGCGCTGTCAGTCGAACAAACGAAGACTAAAGCGTGAATGACGCTCTGTATACGATTTTAACGCCCTATAACTTCGGACACTTTTTAGCGCGGACCCGACGTCCATATAATTGTAAGTCAATGACCACAGGTAATATTTTTGGTGCGGCTGCCATTATTGCACTCCGAAATAGCACAATAAGGCATTTTTCAAGGATTTTAGAGAATTTGCACAAAGGAATGACACAACCACATCATATAAGGCGAAAATGTGGAACTGAGCTCAGATAGGTCTTCCGAGACCTATTTGGCACGCGTCAGACGCTAAATAACCACTTCTACTGTATTTATTGTTTTGTAGTTCGTTCCATAGCTTATGTAACAAAATTATTAAAAGAGTGGCAATATTAACAAGATCTGACGATGCGTCGTGGAGAGGCGAAACTCATGTCGGGTAGTATATTTTTTGGTGGTGGTGTTTGTGACCGTCATCGAGTATATAACCAGAAATAGAGACGAAATAAGGGCCATCCATCCCTGGTAACACATTAGCGAGCAGCTCTTATAAACATCAACTCCCGTTTGCACTGAAATATAGACAGGCCAACTACAGACCTGTGTGTACGTCTCCGTATATTCAAAAAAATATTCTGTATTTATTGTAATAAAGATAATATCTCTAACAATGCCGTGCTGTTCTATTCGGTGGTGTAGGAAAAACAGCAAAACATCTAATTACAAAACAAACGGAATCACATTTCATCGTCACATTTCATAAATATTAAATATGTAATTTTGCAATTTTCGTCCATTATAGCAAAGCTCAAGTTAACTGGTCGTTTTGAAGTGAAACAGTTGACGACACCCGTCAATTGTTTCAAACTCGGGCTAGCCAATCGGAGCGCAGTTGTCACAGTAATGATATAACAGAATAGTTTTCAAAGACATTAAATGATATTTCGTCTCTATTTCTAGTTATATACTCGATGTTATCAAATAACTGTTATCAAAAAAAATGTTATCAAAATTTTATTATATTTTTTTATGATACCAACAGCTTGACTTTGATTGCCTCTTCCGATTGGAAACTGAGTCATTTCCGAGTCGAGGCGCATAATTGCGACTCACAACTGGAAGATCGGAAACTTTTGATATTTCTAATCGGAACAATACTTGATTTAACTCACAAATTAGAAAGATATAGTAGGAGTCAGGTTCATCTTCTCGCTCAGAAACCAATCTGATTTCGAGACTACCCGATCGTATCGATTCCAATTTGAAACAAAATCATCACGCAAGTGACGGGAAGAACAAGTCGTGCATCTGATGGTAAGCGTCACGCCTATCGTGTCACTGGATATCATTCCTGGAATGTAATAAAATATTATCTGTCTTTTGTTTTCAGAGTAACTGCAGCTGTTGTGCACAGTGCCATCCTACTCAGCCAGCGTGGGATATCAGTCTGCAACACCGTTTTTGGGCACCAGGTAATTTTAATACATCAGACGATTGCACCAATTATTGTCGCTCTTTTAACTGTTAGTTACGAAGACGCATTGTGGTAGCCTAATAGTGTCACCTATCGCCTCTCAAGCAGAGGGCACGGGTTCAAAGTCAAAGTTAAATAATCATTTATTCCATAGTCAAAATTTTTACACTTGAAAACGTCATTTTTAAACTTCTGCTCGTTCACTACGCTGACTTCCCTGAGAAGAACGAGCAAGAAACTCTAGGGATTGCTCTTTTCAAATAAACTGAAATGCTATGGAATACACTTTGAATCATAATTTTGTGGAATCTAGTCTCTTGTTGTCTATCCATACTTCTTTATATAAAACATACTCTTCAATTTTGTAATATGACTTTTCAATTATAATGTAAATGTAAATGGTAATCTTAATATATTCTCCGGAATCTTATTGTAAAAACGTATACAATTCCCCATAAAAGAATCGTTATACTACTTTAGTTAAACGAAATCGTGGTACCATGAGTTTGAACTTAGTTCTAAGGTTAATATTATGGATATCTTCTCTCTTAACGAATATAGAAACGGAATATGGAATTAGGCATAGATAAATACTTATTAAAAAATTCTATATAAAAATCTTATTTAGACTAAATATATAAACTCCACTCAACACTCACCACGTAATCCTGTGGATTCTCACTGTTGAGGGGTCGTGCAGCGTGACAAATACAGTGCAGACTTAGGCTTTTATGAAAATCAATTCCAGTTCATACTATCTAACGATTTTTTGTATCGATTTATTTCAACGCGATTTCCAGGTCAAACGATTCAATAGAATAGAATGTGAAATCGAATCGTTTACATCAGAAAACAATAAACATTTAGTAATAGCATCATAACATTTGACCAAAGCTAGATTTACAACAAATATGTAGTTGTAAACAATTTTTGCCCTCGATTTCGGACATTAATGGGTTTTAACCCGGTTTTCAACCCGATTAACAAAACCTTGTTTAAACCCGGGTTAAAACAGTAATACATACGACAAGTGAGAAAGGTTCGCTTTTAAAAACTAAGAAAGATAATGATAAATGTTTAAAACAGCAGCGGTTGATTAGAAGAAGCAGGATACGGTGAATAAATCTATTATTTTACTTCCAGGTCGTATTGGCAATCTGTACTCACCAAATCCAGGTACTGGTAGGAAGACATCTGCTTGGAGTTGGTTCCCATGGCCAAGGAGTAACAGTCAGAAGTAAGTTCGGGTCAGCTGCAAAGTAAATTCATGAAAAAAAAAATTAAAAATCCTCAATCTTAAAATAATAATTGTTTTGTGATGTTTAAGAGTGGATACCTCAGTCCGAATTCAATTTTTTTCCGTACCGTATTACGTTTCATTTTGCTTGGATCGAGCGTCAGGGACACTGGGTTTATTTCAGAATATTTTTTTACAAACGAAATTAAAACCATTTGAAAGATGTATATCGTATAGTATACGAATTCTACTTAGTTCAGTTGATATAAAAAAAAGCATTGGTCTAAGTAAAGTACGTATTGAATATAGCGGTTTTCTCATTGACTTACAATTATATGGACGTCGGGTCCGCGCTAAAAAGTGTCCGAACTTATAGGGCGTTAAAATCGTATACAGAGCGTCATTCACGCTTTAGTCTTCGTTTGTTCGACTGACAGCGAAACAAGCAAAATTAGACAGTATTGCGATGTCATTATAATTTCAATTCAACGTTTTAGCTTTTTCATATTCCTTTACATGTGACTAAGTTTAAATAGGTTGACTTGGGACATTTTTTTCGTGGTTTTTGTATTAAACCCGTCGTCCATTTATTTGTAAGTCAATGGGTTTTCTTGTAAAATTTCGATGTAAGCTGGTGTTTTTTTTGGATCGTGAAAATTTTTAAGAATTGTGTTTTCACACAATATAGTAATCAGTGTACATTCTCAATTTTACTATATATTTTTTCCAAAGTGATTCATTCAACACTTTCACTGTTATGTATAATTAACCAAAGCCATATGAGGTTTAGTCGATCTAGTATTCTAATCCAGCCAAATTCTACATTCTACGTGGCAATGAAATACCAGACTGTTGTCTCTAACTCTAAAAATTTACTTTCCAGTTCTCGTTGCCGGATGGGTGGAGTACCCCAATCAGGAGACAGTGCCTACGGCTTCTGTGACACAGACGCAGTCCCTCAAAACGCTCAAACCCCTTACGAAGATCGCACCTACCCCTCAAACTACCCCCAACCTTTTCCACGTTCTCAAAACACCGGCAATTTTGCCCAAAACTCAACGTACCCACAAAATGCGAATTCGTTTTCTCAAACATCGAATTCGTTTACTCAAAGCGCCACCCAGTACTCCCAAAACACGACGTATCCTCAGAACTCAGGGTTTGTGCAAAGTGCGTCTTTTGCACAAAGTTCTCAGTTTGCTCAATCTGGGTTTACACAGGAGGGCTTTGGGGAGGCTAGTGGGAGTTTTGACGCGCAAACTGGTGTGTGGGGGCCACCTCCTCCATATAGTCCTCAAGGGAGAAGTGGGAGCCGGTAAGTTAACTTCTTTTTCTTTTTTTTTCTAATCTATCTAGGTATGTTTTATTATTCTTAATATTGACTTAATAATAATAATAACGCATCAACTTATGTCTCAGGGTCACAGTCGCAGCGGCAGTGCCCCTCAGATCTTTGCAATTTAAAGCTCCGAGTGGCACTGGAACTGTTGTGGACAGGCGTATAGCTAATCATCGCCTGATGTTAATCACGACTTGTTCGTCCCGTCACTTGATATTATAAAAAAAATAGCTTAATTGTTTTTTATAATCAAACCAAATGTGTTGCTCTCTCTTCCAGACATCTCCTCCACCAAGACCCAGCATCAGCAACCCTGCTACACCACCACCACATCGATGTTCACCGCAACTCCATGTCCATTCACGACCACTCAAACCTTCCTATGCAGTCTCATACATGCCGAAACTCGTATTTGTTACAACACAATATGCAATCTGAATTATCGCGACTAAATCCAGAGCTAAGACTAAACCCGGACTTATCGCGACTAAATCCGGAACTATCGCGACTAAATCCGGACTTATCGCGACTAAATCCTGATTTATCGCGACTAAATCCGGAACTATCGCGGTTAAATCCGGACTTATCACGACTAAATCCGGAATTAGCGCGACTTAATCAAGAATTAAGTAATTTAGCTCAAATGTATTCTCCTGATGAACTAGCGAGGTTGCAAGAGATGGGACATCTGAACGGTCGTTTCAACACTCTAAGGGGACACCTGGTACCATACAGGAGTTGTCAGAGGACATTGGAAACGAGTGCAGGCAATTTACACAGAGATTGTAGACTGGAGGATAATATAACAATTGAATGTTTGCATCAGAAGAGCGGTAGTAAAGGTAAATAACGCACACACTCATACTCAACATAACGCAATAAAATTGTAACATAGAGATTCCGCACTCTTGGTGTAATAAGGCCTTATCTGCAACGTGACAACTTTATTAGATAGTTCGTAGACATTCATTTATTTTTTTGTGAAATTACTCTACTTTAATATGTCCACCCATTTATTTAACTTTTGACAGCTCGAATTCTAATCAATTAGATTCGTTGCCGATTCGATTCTTTTTATAACAATCGATGTTATTTATGAAGAAATTTAAATCTTGAACGTGAGTTCATGAAAGAAGATATTGTCTGATTGGGATCATGTTGTTGCGTTTGACAATTTATGTACTCAACAATTAATAATTAGTGTTAATGAGGATTCAACTGATGGTTCCCATTCATGTGGAAAAGAATCCCACGATTGATTATAATAAACAATGAGAATTTATTATAAATATTTATAATTAATTTCATTTCATTATATTTTAATACACAGATGTCAAAATTTATCAACTTGAATAATCCGTTACATAATTCGTTGGCTCGATAAATATCGGAGCTAAATAGCATATCGCTTCACTAAAATGAATAAATAAAAGAGTTCAGGAAGTATTGCATTTTTTGTCTATGGTTGTATGTCAATAATTACGGAGCTTAAAGCATGCATGTGTCAACAGTTACATAAGAATAGGCTGTATGGCATTATGCCAAAGCCGTTAAAACTACTTACTTAAAAAATTTGGTTGGACTGAGCATAGTTTGTTGTAATAAGCATCTGGCTTGGATTACCTGAAGGTGCTGGTTAGAATCCAACCGGATCGAAGTACTTTTTGTTAGTCTTCGATCTATTAATAATTTATAATTAATAATTATAACTAACTAATGGAGTAATTTCACGAAAAAATAATCGAATATTATAGTAGTAAAATATCGTAATAAAAAAAACTTATTATTAAAGCGACAACTCCAGTCACCTGCTGGTAGCTGTAAAGGTACCTGGCTGCGCAAAGAAATAGATTTCTCACAGATGGCGCTACAGCAAAAAAGGCGCTAAAAATAAAAAAAAAACAAACATCTTGAATAAGCACATAGAAAAATTCGTAAAGTCTGTTGGTATGTTCCGTGGCTTAATTGGAAGAGTGTCTAGTACAGATTGCTGCAATAGAAGAATTTTTCTTAATGTCTACACTTAAAGTGTTAAAACTTAAAAATTACAATTAGAAATTATTTTCACTGAAAAATAATTCTACTTATGTCTTCTCTTACAGTGTCAGATCAAAGCATCGATTCTTGTCAGAAATTGGGTAAAGAGAACTTGGGATTCCAGAACGATAAAAATTCTCCAGTCAGGTAAGAGCAGATCTGCAATTCCACTCCAGTGTTGTACGCCATATAAATCTGGAAGCATAACGCTTCGTGCGATTCTTGGGTATATCTACAACATAGGGGTAGAATTCCAGCTTACGTCTAGTCTCCCGACATTAGAAAGGGAACGGCGGAATTATTTTAAGCGATTCCGTCGCACACTGAATGAGGCAGGTTTAGAGCTAAAATGGTGAAAATGGAGAAATGCTGGACTGTTATTACAATTTAAACTTTACCCAGTTGGTATACGATTGAAAGTTCAGTACCATATAAACAAGTAGCAGTAGAGCTCCTTGTGAAAGAGTTCGTCCAGGGAAGTACTGCCACCTTACCTATTTCTGCCGCCAAGTAACGTAAGCATTATAGCGTTTCGGTTCGTTATGTGGTAGCGTTTTATTTATCGTTGGACGACTGTCGCGTTTACTCTGTTCCCACATCACGACTATCTGACGTGACTGTGTCGTGGACACTAGATCGTGACGACAATTTATCGGTTCACGGCAGCCGCTTTGATGTTTGCACGACAGAATCGTTTGAAGCTTCGATTATTTGTCGTTACATTTTAATCGTAACGTTTTGTTTATCATCTGACGACTGTCGTCCTAGCACTTTCCATTGTCACGACAGTCTGTCGTCGTAACGCCAAAGAAGTCGTGAACGACAGGTAATCGTGTTGTACTATGTGTGAACCACTTCTTTTAAATATACAAGTCATGACAGTCGTGATACGTCGTCGTTACAGGCACATGGGATTCGTCAACTTATGCCTCAGGGTAATGTGCGCAGTGGCAGTGCCTTTAAAATCTTTGTAATTTAAAGCTCTGAATGGCACTGAAACTATTATGGATAGGCGTGTTACTTACCACCAGACACACTCATACTCAACACAGTCACACTCAACATAGCCCCGCACTAGGGAAACCCTGTGTCGCGGGTGCCATGGACACACACATAGACAACCACAAATTACAATCAAACTCATGAGAGAAATAACTGTAACCCATACAAATATTTATCCCGGCCCGGAACTTGGGACCTCTGCGTGGCAGTCCGGCATGGTAACCGTTCGGCCACGGAGGCAGACGCATGACTTGTTCGTCCGTCACCATTTCTTTTTATAATTGGAATTAGTCCCAATACCTTTGTCTTTAGGTACTAGCGTAGTACTTGGTTATCTTTTAACAATAATTATTATCCCTTATTGTGTCTCAGATCTTCGATGCAAGACTGTCACCGTGGAGTGAACCAGAATGCAGAGTCCGAAGTGTACTTTGCAGATGTATCTAGCTGCTGTAATGTGTCTGTGAAGGTACGTGAGGGTTTTTATAATATAAATTATGGATGGAGAATAGGTGTACCTCATAGATATATCCGTATTTTCTGCCTACCTCATTGTAGAACAGGTGATGGTTAATAGTAGCTGGTTGATATGCCCAAACCAATATACTTGTAAGTAATATGGTTGCGTATTAGCTAAGTCATATTAGAACTTAACTATTTGTATAACTGATGTTTAACTAAACCAAATCCAGTTAATGTAAGAGGTTCATAGGTTATTTGATAACATCGTGTGTATAACCAGAAATAGAGACGAAATAAGAGCCATTATTCCATGTCAACTCATCAGGCAAATAGGCCTTATCACTTTTAAACGTCAACTCTCTTTTGCGCTGAAATCACAAATTAGAAAGCTGAAATAGTACAGCGCCAACAACTGACCTGTGTGTACGTCGTATATTCCAAAAATATTCTGTATTTATTGTAATAAAGATAATAACTCTAACAATGGGGGCTGTTCCATTCTGTGGTTTGGGAAAAAAGCAAAACATCTAATTACAAAACAAGCGGAATCACATTTCATCGGTAATTAAATAATTCTTAAATATGTAACATGTTTACAATTTATTATGTTTTCAATTTTCGTCCATTATAGCAATGCTCTAGTTCGAACAAAGTTCAAAACTGATCGATTTGTAGTGAAACAATTGACGATGCCCGTTAATTGTTTCGAATTCGGGGTGGTCAATCGGAGCGCAGTTGTCTCCGTAATGATTTGGCAGAATAATTTTCAAACAAATTAAATGATATTTCGTCTCTTTTTCTGGTTTTATACTCGATGTTTGATAACTACATCTAATGTAGAAATGAGTTTGTACGTAAACGTGTTTGTAAGTAATGTAGAAAAGACCTTTTAAAAGCTTAAGTGTTTCTTAGAAATTCATTAGTATAATCGTTTTTTTCCAGGCGGACTGCTGCATGAATCCAAACGTCTCAGCTCTAGTGGGCACAATAGAGAACCACCCCGAATCTACATCAGAATCTGACACCGGTTCTTTTACTTTGACTCGTCAACAACGTCCACAACCCCAGGTGGGTTCCAAACGACGTCCTCGAGCCGAAAAACATTTGAAAACTCAAGAAAAATTACGACAAGATCTTAATAATTCATTAAGATTGACTGAACAACAGATTGAGCATTTGAATAACTCTATAAGAATGAATGAAGCCAGATTGAATGAACGGAATGATTCTAGAGATCGATTAAATGATTCTAGGGTAAATGATTCTAGAATGAATGATTCTAGGAGTAATGATTCACGGTTAAATGATTCTAGACTTAACGATTCTCGATTGATCGATTCTAGGGTAAATGATTCCAGACTGAATGATTCTAGAGTTAATGATCAAAGAATCGACCGCGAACTCAACGATTCCCGTCTCGAAGATCGTAGAATGTCAGATCTAAATGCGAGTATTAGACTTGAAAGCCCCAAGTCTCACGTTAGTCCTTTACGTAGAAGTCCTAAGGAAAAGGAACCTAAACAAGACAATACTAAAGAGTTTTTTGCTATAAGCCCTCTATCTCCAAGTACAGAGGACACTTTGTTGTCTGATGATGATAGACAGGATCAAGTATATTCCAATGAACCTGAGACTTCAAAATGTTTAGGTCCAGATTCTCAATATGAACCCGTAAGGGAGGAGAAAGAGGAAGTGTTAAAGACCAATCACCATCATTGCTACAGCGATACCAATACTATGGATTCGGGATGGCAGAGTGGTTCCGAAAAGCAGGTTACTGATTAAGAGAATAAACACTATTCCAGAATTAAATAATTCATAAATTCGAATAATGATTTAATGAAATTCAAGAATTAACGATTGCGGAGTTAATGATTTCGGTGTTAATGATTCTGCAAGAAATATTGAGATGGCTGTAGTAATATAGGACATTCTGGTGAATAATGTTCGGATTAGCTGAGCTGGTACGAAAGGCGTTTTCACAATTGGGCAAAGAGTATGTAGTAAAAAAATCTGACTCTTTTCACTATGTACGTAGTAAAATGATCTGAATAACAAAATTATGACATAATAAGCGGGATGACGTCATCATCTCCACATGCTATGCTCTTAACAGTTTTTTTACGCCTCCTTCATTCGTATTCAGTCTCTTTATTAATTCCAGTATGTTCTCGGTATTTTTAAGCTGATATTTTTTAAGGATATCCCTAATTTAATCAACGATGTTTCAAACCACCTACGGCGCTTCATAAATTGTAACAATTTGACTTTCGAAATTGTATATTTTTTAATATCTACTTGGAATATTGAAACCGAAAAGAACTCAGTCAAAGTGATTCATTCATCGTTCACTTGTCATTCAATCATTACTATAGGGTTATTTTGGGCTTTTAGTATAGTTTTGAAATTACTACCCAAGAAACATTTTTAGGTTCGAAATATTGCTTAGGTATGACCCAAAACTTTGTTCGGACAAAATTACTGCCAATAATATAGATAATGCTCAAATTCTAAATTTTGATAATGTAGACAAATCATGTATTCATTCCTTCATTTGTCTACATTATTTTTGTTTAGTTTCGAATATGTGGTGTTTAGTTATGAACAGTTAAGAGAAAAACAGTTTTATTTTTGTAAAAGTAACTTTCAAAACAATTTGACACTACATTACACATTTTTAGTATTTTTTGTCGTGAATTTTAATTTTAATAAATGACTCGATTAGCACGATTGTTTAGTAGTATTGTTGAAGTCTAATAATGCTCTCTGAAAATTTGGTGATAAGAATGTTATTATTTTATTATAATAATTCTAAAAATACTCATTATTATTTTTTATATAATAAATTTTATTTAAAAAAATACGATGTTTATTATGGTTTCAAGATACTTGCTTATTAAGATCATTAAAAACTTACCGTAAAGTCGAAAGTATTTGTGCGAAGGGAATTCGAAAATATAATAAAAATAGTCCCAAAAGTCCTATTTTTATTGGGACTACTTTGTTTCAGCTCTGTATTCTAAAATTATTGTGATTGTAGCACTTGCCATTAGAAACTTGTGAATGTTTGTATTTGTGCCAAGTAGACGACTGTACTTTTATATATTTTAATAATAATAATTACTGTAGTGATTATTAATAAAAATTAATAATAAATTGACCAAATTAGCTTCTTGTAATCTTATTATAGTGAACTTTTAGAAGATTAAATAAATTAATAAATTTCTAGGTTCCTCCTGTCCTGTTTATAAAATAATAACGTTCCATTTTGTATTTTTTTTGTTACAAAAATACGTATTATGGATTTATTTTTTAAACATTTCCGCCATTAAAAAACATAAAAGTATTATTAATTATTTTTTGAAATTAAACATTTTGAACAATTTTCCATTAATGAAAGCAATATTTTTCTTGTAAATATTATACTTATTAATTATAACATTATAAGCTCTTTAGTAGTTTTGTATTTTTAGAACAAAATTGACTCTTTTATATTGTTTAATTACATTGGTAGTAAATTACATAGGAAATAATATCCAGTATAATTTTTAGTGATGATGAAATTTCGAACAATATTGTTCATTAATTTAAATATGAATATTATTGTACGACACTTTTTTAATATTTAAGGCTGGTAAGGTCTAAATCGATGCCATCTTGCGGAATAACAAAGATTGTTTTTTATTGACAACACTGACTTCGACTATTTTTAATCAAAGTGACGTTAAGTATTGCCAGTGTATAGAGAAACTCGTGAAACTTTCATAAGTTTCCACAGATGGCACTACGATAATAAAGTCTTTTAGAGAAACATCCGCAATAAGCATATAGATAAATTTTTAAGATCGGCTGGCTCGATTTGTAGCTCAGTTGGCAGCGCGGTAGCTATATTGAGGCGACAGAAGCTGGTTCACGTCCAGTCCAGCTTTTAAGTACTTGAATGACAAAAAACCGTGATTGTGACCCGTTTAGCTTTTGCAGGTAGTCTCGATCTTTGAAATAAATACTGATTAAATTCCACTGCCCCTGAGAAGAATGAGCAAGAAATTATAAGGGGTTGCTCTAGGGGTTAGTGTATAAGTAATAGAGTTTATTTTCGAAGTTTAGAATTACATTTCGCGGCATAATTTGTTTTTACGCATCCTTTGTGACGAGATTGCATAATAACAAATGTTAGCATTTGCATAATAGTAATGCTAAACGAAATTGTCAAAAATACCTTCGTTTTATTATACTAGATGAAAATTTATATGATACTTTTAAAACTATGTAGGTTGAGTAAGAAATTCCAGTTAACACAATTTTACTAACTTTAATTGCTCGTTATTCAAAATAAAAAATTTAGCATTTTGTCACTGTCATTGTCAATGTGCGATGTAATACAACCTCTAAAAGACACTTCCCAGCCTTTTGAAATCTAATTATGATAATTAAATGTAATAATTATTATCCTGTAATGCAAATATGGAATTGTTTCACTTTTAAGATAAATAATTATGTTAAAACGTTTGTATATTATTGATAATTATTTTTAGATTATAATTTTATTTTATATTTGTAACTTTTAATCAATTTACGTATTCTGCACTTCTTGTCATAACTAACGCATTTGCATTAGGCTTATATATATTCCCTACACTGGCCGACATGAACTAGTTCGTCTTGCACGGTTTTAATAGTTCATCGTTCTTTTTAGTTCAGTACGAACTAGGAACTGTCTGGGTTGATAGTAATATCCACTTGTCTTTTATACTGTAGGAACGGTGCGAGCGGGATAAATAGCGATCTTTCACTACTTTTAGTACAAGTTCGAGTGGGATGCACGATTGAACGTTCCCAATATCTCTAATACGTATGTACATTATGTTCATATACAAGCTTGCAAAAATGTACTGTATGTGTAATATCAACCTACTTGTACGAGTATATGATATAGTTGTACCTAAATATCGATTTTTAAACACACCGTTCTAACTAAGATTCTTATTTTGTAAAAAAAAGGATATTTACTTAGAATGATAGAATTTAAACCTGTAAAATATGGAGGAAAATCAAATAGTGCCGATTCCAAACAAATTATATTTTTAAATATAGTTAAGAGCAGTGTAGTATTAACCTCATAATACTAGAAGTCCGTAGTAGTTCACGTGAATAAAATTACTAGTTTGGAGCGTTCGTTCAATGTCCGAGTAAGGACAAGACGAACTAACTAACTAAGGAACTACATGAACTAAATGAACTAGAAAACCGACCTAGTTCAGTTGACCGATTGAACTAACTAGGATCGCTCCCGCTAAGACTGGTCAGGCACAAGTCTAATTTGCATTTTGGTAACTTTGGACATATTGACATTTCAAGTTTTTTTTTACGACCTATGCATGGAGCGAGCAAGCTATGCAGCGATCGAATCAGAAATGAGTAGATCCGCAGAAGAACAAAAGTCACCAACATATGTTGCTCACAGGATTAGCAAGTAGAAGTGGTGGTAGACAGGGCACATAGCTCGTAGAACTGACGGCCGTTGGGGCAGAAAGGTTCTCGAATGAAGGTCACGTACCGGAAGGCGTTCAGTGGGACGGACTAGATGGACGGATGACCTCGTAAGGGCGGCGGGTAACCGACGGATGCACGTCGCGTTCGACCGGTTAGTCTGGCAATCTTTGAGGGAGGCCTATGTTCAGCATTGGACGCCGTCCGTCTGATATCGACACTGGAAAGGAAAACCGTGTAACTTTAGTTTGATAAATATTACAGGAGAGCGACTTAAAGTTTTTTAAGAAAAAAGAAATCAACTATAATTGGATATCAGATTGGAGTCCAGGAAGTATTGTATTTATTTGTCTATGGTTGTATGTAACCAGAAATAGAGACGAAATGTTATTTAATTTGTTTGACAACTATTCTGTCAAATTATTACTGTGATGACTGCGCTAAGACTGGCCAGCCTGAATTTGAGACAATTGACGGGTTTCGTCAATTGTTTAACCAACAATTATTGACCAGTTAAACTTGAGCTTTGCTATAATGGACGAAAATTACATATTTAGTTACCGATGAAATGTGATTCCGTTTGTTTCGTAATTAGATGTTTGAACAGCTCCCCGTTGTTAGAAATATTATCTTTATTACAATAAATACAGAATATTTTTAGAATATACGGAGACGTACACACAGGTCAGTTGTTGGCGCTGTACTATTTCAGCTTTCTAATTTGTGATTTCAGCGCAAACGAGAGTTGATATTTAAAAGTGATATAAGGCCCATTTGCCTGATGAGTTGCCAGGGATGGGTGGTCCTTATTTCGTCTCTATTTCTGGTTATATACTCGATCGCTGTATGCCAATAATCACGGAACCGCGGAGGCACGCATTTTTCAAAAGTTAAATAAAGGGTTGGACGGAATATACATATGCTGATCTTAACATTGAGGAATTTGAGGAATTGCAGTTATAAAGTCACAAACGCTTCCGTCTGTTTGTTCCGCATTGTGCAGTTCTTTGGTCACATTGCTCGCAGAAGTGCTGATAGGCAAACGACCTAAGGTCGAAGCTCGAAACGATGGTGTGACCAAGTGGCTGAAAGTCTGGCAGTACCAGTGAACGTTGCATTCCATCTAGCCAACAGACAAAGTGCAGTGGAGAAGATTGATTGACAGTGTACTTGTTCAAAGTTAGGATCCCCAGCAATGAGGGACCGACAGAGGAGGAGGAGGATCTTAACAATAAAACTGAAACTAAACAAGATATAAAAAAACCCGATTAGAGTGGTTTGTGGATCTGTTTTGCGGATTCTAGATATGTTAATAACTCAATTTCTTTATAAATATCTGTACGTCAGTTATGACAAGGAGAACAGTATTTTCCTCATTCTTTTTCATGTGTTATAAGAAGAGTGTAACATGTAAATAGCCTAGCCCCATACCGTAAATTCAGCCACGCAATTTCGGC